GAGAGAGAGAGAAGGGGGGGACTGTGCCAAGCTGTCCATTATGTGACTCTGACACGTGCTACGTTTCTTTTTTGCCTTTTGCCTTCCTGGAAATTTTCCAAGATGCACGCCGGCATTATGGCTCTCATGGCAATGCTACTCCCGACAAGTCCCCCACCCGRAGAGCAACTGCCAAGCAGATTGAATGCTGATTGTTTCATTCATACAATGCAAAACCTGCTTAACGTCAGCAGCACTCCTATAGTTGGAGGCACCTTCCAACACCTTCGCCGGGCCAATCATCACTGACATCATCGGAGCCCACCAAACTGAGACTCACCCACACGCGCATGCACTTGCACACATAGCGTCAAAATCCAACAAGTAAGCACGGGGCATACATGCAAGATAGCTTGATCACAAACATATCCAGTGAACACAGCAAACAAAGTCTGATTCTGAATCTTTACCAAAAACATCAACGGGACGACGGACTGGATTTTCTCAGAACAGTCCAGAGTTCTTGCACAGCACAAAACAAAAACGATGCTGCAAAGGTAACAGCTCCCCAAACAAAACACGCAAAGATAAAGAAAAAAGAATGTTCGGTGGTATTCCCTGCTATTTTCTTGCATGCGGGTTTTCATCTGCTCTCAGGCTCTTCTTTTTCTTATTGTGAAAGAAGCGGCATATGATAGGGCAGTTCCTTATGCGTTTTCTTTCTTTTGTGCTTTTTTCTTTTTCTGTTTTTGCGGGCGAAGCCGCAACGGGTCATCTAGTTGGAGTTGAGAGTCCTTCAATGGTTCTGCAGCACCTTTCCTTCAAGATGGACCACAATGTTATCTTTCTGATCATTTTGAACCACATTTTCATTGTCTTGTGGAATTGAGCTGGGATGTTAGTCCCTAGGAGTTGGATGGGGTGTTCACGAAGGGAAGTCGAGAAGAGGGAATCCTAGAGATCCAAAGCCCTCGCCCAATATTTCATCGCCTCTCAACAACGTATCAGACAATGTAGCATATTTTCTGGTTCATTTTTTGAACAAACTGTGCATAAGTCTCAATTGTTAGGGTCCTTCTTACTTCTTCTGATATGCAGCCATTAGTTAACCAGTAGAGCCGCGTATGAGATGAGCCATTGGAGGCTTCTGATTTTGACCGGTCGGATTGACATGATTGTTTTGCATGGTATTTGTGGGATCTGACTAGCCATCTGTTCTTGATCGTTGGGTCAGGAAGTTGTATCCTAGTTTGACTGTGTATTCCTAGATGGGGACATTCATTCTGAGGCTTCTGCTTCTGTTTGGTTTCCAAAACCACTCTACTGGATCAAATTATAAGTTTTGAATCGTCGTATCTACTCTGAAAATTGTTTTTGGCCATGATCCCAACACTTTTTTGAGTTCAAAAGTGTTTAGGACTGTTCTTTCCACCTCCTTATTCAGGATAGATCGGAGGCCTTGCGTGGAGGGGGTAATTGGGAAAGAGGTAAACACCACCATGGTATCCGACCCTTGCCTTTTATGGGAAAATTGATAGGCACTTGAGGCGGTTAAATCCTGCACCCTCAGGCCCCATTCACCCGATCTCCAGGTTGAGGCTTATGCGAGGCTACGCCCGCTCAGCCCCTTCGGGGCCCTTTTTGCAGCATGTCGGCCGCCCTAAGTGAAGGCAGGCGCGACAAGCCCTCAGGGCCTCGATTTTCAGGGTACCCCGCAACTGGTGAAATTCAGACAGTTGCGCTGCGCCAGTTGGTTGAAGGCACCCAGGCCCAGGCCATATTTTGCAAATGTATCTGAATGGGGTGGGCCTGTGCCTACCCGGGCCTACTGGAAGCTTCCTGGACTGGACGCAGGCAGGCCACTTCGATATAGGGAAGGGCCTGCCTCCTCATTCAGCATTCGGGTGCTGGCTGCATGCTGCGGGAGCGCTGCTGCGCTATTTGCTGGCTGGCTGGCTCTCACGCTCTCACGGGCAAGCAGGAAGTAGCGGGCAGCCATAGCCGAGCTGCTCCGCTGTGAGCTGGGTGTGACGCAGGGTGGTCCTTGGGTGCTAGTGGCATCTGTGTGGTGTGGATCGGGGTTGTGAGTGTTGCGAGAGACATACCTGGTGCTGGAAGCGTGCGGCATTGTCCGCTGTATGCTCGTACTTCAGGAAGCTGTTGTTGTCAACATCGACATTGTAGTATTAGGCT